CTTCAAGTAAACTATACCTTTCTCAACAAATGGAGTCAAGGATCATTTTTACTTAGAGGTTTAAGCTGAGGCAGGTCTGACACTGGGTTTCAAAAGAGGAATTTCTTTTGCAATAAGTTTTGTGATTTGTTTGGGTTGTCCCCAGCCTTTATGCAGTATGTGTGTTAGGGTAATAATTTCCAGCCCATCAATCATAAGTGTGGTATAGTGTAATGACTAAATGCTTTCCCCGCCTTCCATCTGCTTACGGGATTTATATTTTAAGGGACCCCAACTGTTCATTAAATCTCTCATTTCTCTAAAGAAACACTATATACCCTTAGACTTGCCTAAACATTATAGTTAATGTATATACTTATAGTTGCAATGATGAGTGGCTCAAGACTGCCATTTCCTGTTGCTGTTCCTTTGGGTTTTTTATTTGCTCTTGCCGTCATTTTATTATTTGTGAACGTTGATGTTCAGCAGAGCATAGAATTTGAATTTTGAGCATCCTGAAACATGGAACAAACTAATGAAAATGATAAAGAAACAAGAATTATTCTTGAGCCAAGCTGTGATTAGTTTTAACATTCTGAAGCTGGTTATCTGTTAACTAGTTCAGAAACAATTAATTTGAAAGCAGTCAGAGATATTGTGAATTTGTTACTGCTTTTATACAATCCCTCCCTAATCTGCTTGAGGCTAAAACATAAATAACTTGAGGCTAAAAGTTAAATAAATAACTTGAGGCTAAAACATAAATTGAACCATAGGCTGGGTAAGTTCTATTCACCTCCAGTTGAACACAGGCATTTTACATGGTAGTTTATTGGGGCTCCCGGTTGCATTGAGTTTGTACTTCTTTTAATCAGCTCTTATCTTTCACGATCTCTCCGGTCACCAGCGAGAAGATTAGGGGACATATGGCCATTTCATGTAAATATAAGGTGAGACCAACTTACTTCTCATGTTTCTGTATGTCCTTTTATCTAGGGGTGGATGGCTGGGGATTCACAGGGGTTCGGAAGAGCCCATAACTAAGATTCTATGCAGTTCAGAGAACCCCCAAATCCCATTCCTGGCTGGCCCCGCCCCATCCTGCCCCTCCCAGAAGTCCCCATGCAGCCCGTTTGGGGTGCAGGTAAGTGCAGGGCACATGGGGAGGTTCAGGGACGGTAAAAAACGGGCCTCCCAGAAGGTTGGGAAGGCTGAAAATGGGCCTGTCTCCAGCTTCCAGAAGGCCTCTGGAGCCCAGGGAGGCTGTTTTCGTCCTCCCGGAGGCTCGAAGAAAACATCCGGAGCCCAAGGAGGGCAAAATACGCCCCCTGCCATAGTGCAGGAGGCTGACTAGGCCACACCCACCATGGCCACGCCCACCCAGCAACCTTTATCATACTTCAAAAAGTATAAGTTTTACTAGCTTGTGTTTCCTAATCATTCTCTTTTCCTCTAGCCACCTGGTTGTGTCATATTTTCTTCTCTATTGCTCAAATTCTCTGCCCCTGCACTAGTTTGTGGTTCATTTGAGATATTTTGCCATCTCTGGATGGCCGTTCTCAAGAGTCAGTCTACAAATCTTTTGGCTAATCTCTCTCTCTCTCTCTCTCTCTCTCTCTCATAGTCATGTTGGTTTGGGCTACCTAAGCACAGGGGTAACAAGATTTTGAATCAAATTACATAAAGGGTGATATAACAGACCATCACATACATCCAATTGTACTGAACAACTTAAGGTTTACAATACAAAGGCTTATCCAATGAAAAACAATTAGGATAAAAATGCCTGCCTTGAGTTATATAAAGTGTGTGTATGCACACGCATTCACACACACACATATAATATTAAAGTAACAATTGTTAATAAAAAAGTCAAAACAGTAATACCTGGATTCAGAAAAATAGAAAGAAAAGAAAAGAAAATGAGAAGATTACAACATGATTTGAGTTTTCTATTTGACCTAAAACAGAAGTTGAATTAGTGTGGCAAAAGAAAACAAAGTTAGTACCAATAATAATAGGCACCTTGGGGGCAAGCCAGAAACAACTGCAGCACTGCTTCAATACCAGTGGCATTGACAAAATCACCACCAGTCAATTGCAAAAGACAGCCCTGCTTGGAACATCTTATATCTGCAACAATACCTCTAATACCACTTACACAACTTCTATTCCAGGTCTTTGGGAAGGACTCAATAGCTAGATAAAAATGCCAAATCCAGTCTAAACATCTGGCTGACTGTGCAAGCAATCCATTAAAAATGGATAGAAAGCAAGAATCAATGCTATTAACGTTGTCAATACAATTCTCATACAAAATACGAATTCTTCGCAAAGGCAAAAGGACTGGGCTCTGTTTGAAGTCTGGAACAGCTGTAAAAGATCATTCTGCTCATTCATGTTAAATATGCTCTAATGAGGGATGAACAGCTGGGCTACATAAAAAAGGGTAAATGTCTTTAATTATGGCCACCAAATTGTTCAAGCATTATCATGAGAAAGGAAAGTTTCTCTGCTAAAAAGGATTGTAATTTTAATTGTAAATGAGAGCCAGTTTGGTCTAGTCTAGTGGTTAAGGCACCAGGCTAGAAAATGGAAAGTTATGTGTTCAAGTCCCAGCTTAGCCATGAAAGCCAACTGAGTGACTTAGGGCTACTCACTTCTAACCCAACTGACCTCACAGGATTGTTGTTGTGGGGTAAATAGGAAGGGGAAGGTGTGTCGGATATATTAGCTGCCTTAAGTTGTTTGTAAAAATAATAAAGGTGGGATACAAATAAATACATTTCACCTATTTGCTCAACTTCTGTTTTCTTTTTATGGAGTGGATAGTTTTGCCTGCATAATCATGACCACTGGCCATTGTTCTAATTTCTCAGCTGGCTAAAAGGCATGCTGACAGTCTCAGGAAAGATTTGAATTCCTTTCTTTCCTTAAACTTCGATGACTAAATAATCAAGTTTTAAAATCTCAAAATAAAGACAAAAGCAGTCAAGGCTTACCCATCTCGAATTAAGTGGTACTTCAGGATCTCGTCTGTTTTGGATGTAGGGGTAGCAAAGCAACTCTCCACCAATGTCTCCAGACCATTGACATGCACCAAGGGCTCAATCCCAAAATACAAAGAGTCTCGGAGTTTAAGAGTGGGAAGGGAGTCCTGATAGGACTCTTCAAAATCTTTGTCTTTGAATATCTCAAGTGTGAAAGGGAAGACGCCTTGATTGTGACCCATAATTTCCAGGGGCAAATTCTTCACATTGGGGATATAGCCTTCCGAGATAGTGTAGTGGCGAGGAAATTCACAAGTCACAGGGATCAACAGCTTTCCTGTATGGACAATGATGTCCCCATTACTGCCGGGTGTTTGCTTTGGCAAGCCGGTGACCATATTGGTAGCAACTATTTTGTCATTTACTACCTGTAGACAGAGGGCGAAGATGGTATGGTAAAGTTAGACGGACTGCCTGAATAAAAGGATATGTCAGGAACAACATTATTCAACATCATCTGGACTAGGTGATCATCTGCAAGAATACAAAAAAAAAAAAAAAAAAAAACCCTAGCCAAAAGGGGAAGTCAAGAACCAGAAACCAGCCATCTAGGATTACATTTTTTGTATTTATCTCTTTTTAAGAATGCATTTCTAGCTTGCATATTAGAAGGACTCTCTTCTAATAAGCTATGCATGACTAATAAGCTTTCCGGGGTTAATGAGCAGGGCTGGTTATATTATTATCTACCATAACAAACAAAGTACATTGGAAGAAGAAGGGAAATTAATGGTGCCCATAGATCATAACAATTCTGCTTAAACAATGATTTCTTAGAGAAGTAAAATATTCCAGTATTTATTATTTTCATTAAAAACGGTTTATAGTTAATTAAAAATGCCCTTCTGGAGAGAAATTGGAATTCTGCTTGGGCTAACAGGATTATGCCATAACTGAGCACAAAAGCCAAATTTTAGAAAGTTACAAAAATCGATTGCAGAATTTGTCAAGAAAGGCAAAAGTCAAGCATAATGAATATCCCAGCCTACAATAATAAAAGAAGAGTCCCTTTCTCGGTTCCATTAAATATGTTTCTAATTGGGATATCATCAAATAACTGATACCACTGCGGGACTCGATAGGTGATAGATAAGTTAACTTGCACTCTCTCTTTTAGAATAGTCTTTTTCAAATTTGGCAACTTAAAGCTGGGTGGATTTCAACTCCAAAAAGCATGTGTGTGTGTATGTATGTATACAGTAATCCTTGACTTACAATCATTCATTTGGGGACCATTCAAAGTTACAACAGCACTGCAAAAAGTTACTTGTGACCATTTTTCACACTTATGACCGTTGTAGCTTCTCCATAGTCACATGATCAAAATTCAGAAGCTTGGCTACTGGCTCGTATTTATGATGGTTGCAGTCTCCTAGGGTTATGTGATCACCTTTTGTGACCTTCTGACAAGCAAGGTCAACGGGTAAGCCAGATGTATTTAATGACCGTGTTATTAACAGATTTAACAGAATAATAGAGTTGGAAGGGACCTTATAGGTCATCTAGTCCAACCCCCTGCCCAAGCAGGAAACCCTACACTGTTTCTGACAAGTGGCAGTCCAGTCTCTTCTTGAAAGCCTCCAGTGATGAAGCTTCCACAACTTCTGAAGGCAACTTCTGTTCCATTGCTTGACTGTTCTCACTGTCAGGAAATATCTCCTTATTTCCAGGTTGAATCTCTCCTTGTTCAGTTTCCATCCATTATTCCTTGTTTGGCCTTCAGGTGCTTTGGAAAATAGCTTGACCCCTTCCTCTCTGGGGCAGCCCCTCAAATTTTGGAAGATGGCTATCATGTCTCCCCTGGTCTTTCTATTCACTAGACTAGCCATTCCCAGCTCCTGTAACCATTCATCGTATGTTTTAGCCTCCAGTGCCCTAATTATCCCGGTTGCTCTTCTCTATACTTTTAACTTACTACAAATGCAGCAATTCATTTAACAACTGTGACAAGGAAGGGCGTAAAAAGGAAGGGCAAAACTCACTTAAATGTCTCGGTTAGCAACATAAATTTGGGGTTCAATTGCATCATAAGTTGAGGACTACCTGTATTTGAAAAAAAAAAGTGAATGGTGTGGAATAGGAGATGCTATTTCAGGTTCTACTCTTGCCTGGATATTTTAAGACAAATCATAACAGCAGTCGTCATTATTTCTGTATTTTCTCTTATTCCGGAGTCTGCTCCTGGAAGGAACAAGGGGACCAACATTCCGAAAGCTTGGAGAAATTTCCTCTTCTAGGATTCTTTAGGAAGTCACACAGTGAGGTTGGCAGAAACAACCCTCTAGGTCTATTCCACTGATCTACAGATTTATTTAAACAACAATGGCCTTTGCACAGTGGCAGAGAAGCAGGTTGAAAGCAAAAGGTTGGGAATTATTATTATTATTTTTGCTCCACACAGTTGCTAGGCAATCTATATATAGAGCAGTTACTTAGGTCTGCACCTCCAGTGACAGATGCGTCCATTCATTTAAGTATGCTAAAGCCACTGTGGAAAATTTTAATAATGAAGGAATAAAATATAAGGGCCTTGGGACACAGCAATGCTCATAAATATGAGTCTGTTGCCAAGCACCTTAATTTTGATCGCACAATCATGGAGATGCATGATCATGGGTCGTAACTGTGAAAAACAGTCACAAGTCAGAGTTTTCAGTGCCCTTGTATCTTTGAACAGTCACTAAATGAACCATTGTAAGTCAAGGACTACCTCTATTATGCACATAACATGAGGAGAGATTCCCCATGGACTGTACCTTGAGATCTCATGTGATGACCTGGGGCGTGGCACAAAAGCAACAAAGTCACAAAAGTAAGTAAAGTCCCTTTAATTCCTCCAACTTGGCCTCCAATGTCCAGTTATCATCGGCTGAAGAAAAAACTCTCCCAAGAACAGTTTTTAAAGGGAAGAAATTTAGTCCAAACCCAAAGTACATATAAATTATAAATAAAAACCAACACAAACCACTGCTGTAGCAATTAACGAGATAGGGCAAGATAAGGAATTGCAGAACTCAAAAGATAATGTAACACATACAGTTGGGAGGACCCCAGAACCCAGATAAGACTTGACAAACAAAGATAATGCACACTTTGCTTCCAGCAAGGATCTGTGTGCAAACATCCTCTTTATCCTGTTTTCCCAGCTACAGCTAATGAAGGGAATCAGGGCCTTTTTCTCCCCCGTAACCCACGTTGCTCCCCTATCCGTTCCTCCCTGTGCCCTAGGATGAAGAGGGGGTGGCCCTGGGTCTTCCTCTGAATGCCCAACTGGACTCTGCCCTTCCCCAGTTTCCTCCACAGCCACTGGAGCCACACTCCCACTCTCTGTCATCTGTTCGACCTCCCCCTCAGAATCAGATTCCAACAGGGCATGACATCTCAAGAGGAAAGGTAGGATATCAATGCAACACTAAAACAAACAAATGCAATCAGTACATACATCAATAGATGTTCCACAGGTTTTCAGTGAGAAGATAAGGTTGACATGAGTGCCATTGGATACTCCTTTGCAGGAGCTATTGGTAAGTGAGAGGTCCATTCCCCCAACAAGATCCTTGGGAATATTCACTTCTATAGATGTAGATTTACATATAACTGGAACTGTAAGAAGGAGCACAGCTAGTAAGTGAGTCGGAAGTTAAAACACTGCCTTTCAGTGATGTTCCTGTAAGAAGCAGGATTAAGTCTTTTTGAATATCTGTCACTTCTATATCAAATGTTTCCAGGTTCTGGCCTCAGAAAATGATGCCGTGGTGATACAGTGGTTAACATACAGTATCGCTGGCTGACTCTGCCCACAGCCAGCAGTTCGATTCTCACCAGCTCAAAGTTGACTCAGCCTTCCATCCTTCCGAGGTCGGTAAAATGAGGACTCAGATTGTTGGGAGCAATAGGTTAACTCTGTAAACCACTTAGAGAGGGCTGTAAAGTACTGTGAAGCTGTATATAAGTCTAATTGCTGTTGCTAGTGCGTGAATATAAAATGGTTGGATGGCCATTGTTATAGAAAGCAATGGTATTTGAGATGAACAATTTAAAATACTCAACAAAGGACCAAGAAGATTTACTTCCCTTTTGATAGTGTTATTGTACAATAGAACAACATTCTGCATCCTGATAGAAGTGTAATTTTGTCATTAACTTTGAGGCTGAGAAGTTTCTCCACAGAAAAATGGGGTGAAGTTTTGAATTAACTCAATCATCAATTAATTCATGACATATATGAAGAACATTTGCAGAAACTGGTGTGTCTATTCTAATGAAAAGAAGGACTGGGGTAACATTACAGTATCTAAGAGACTGCCACAATGAAGAGAGGGGTGTCAATCTATTCTCCAAAACACCTAAAGGCAGAACAAGAAGCAGTGGATGGAAACTAATCAAGGAGAGAACCAACCTAAAACTAAGGAAAAATTTCCTAACAGTGAGGACAATTAACCAGTGGAACAGCTTGCCTTCAGAAGTTGTTGGTGCTCTATCACTGGACGTTTTAAAAAAGAGATTGAGCAGCCATTTGTCTGAAATAGTATAGGGTTTCCTGCTTCAGCAGGGGGTTGGACTAGAAGCCCTCCAAGGTCTCTTCCAACTCTGTTATTCTGTTATTCTTTCTGTGGGTTTGTAGTGGACCAGAAGTATTGGACACTAGCTTCTATAATTCCCAAGGAAACTGACCTGCTGACTGCTGCCTCCCACCTAAGCAGGATGTTGACAGAAATTTTTAGCTTACACTCACTCCTGGCTCTCTGTCAGCTGTACTGTAATCCAGCCTGACTTCTGGGGCTCAGTAACTCTAAAACCAGCCAGCCGAACCTATCAATAATTCAGATGGATATCTGAAGCTTATGGTCCAGGTGGAACAGAGATCCAGGAGGTGTGTAACCCCTTCAAAAAGACAGATTCCTCAATGCAGGGAGGCCATGTTTGCTTCAACCCTCAGTTCCAATCAATCTCACTGTCCTTCCAGCTCATTAGTCACCACACATCTGTGGTGGCAGCAATTCAGTGGCAATGCCAACACCAGCTGCCACGAGATTGACAATATTGGAATTGGTGAGACTGTCAGCCCAACCTTAGCCAGACATAAAGGCAAGAAGCACCAAGCTGAAAGATTGGAGGGACTTCTCTAAACTTCTCCCAAAAGAATATATTAAAAAAATAATCTTTACTGCTCCCTTGAGCTTTGGAGGCCAAAGTTTCTTTCTTTCTTTCTCTGAAAGGAAGTCTCCAATAAAATTGCACAGTCTTAATGCTTGTCCATGCCTCCCTTCTTAGAGAAGGATAATAATATATCACAATAGGAAAGGAGAGAGAAATTGAATGCAGGGCATGGTTTTGCATACACATGCTTCACCTCTCTCTCTCTCTCTGTCTCTCTGTCTCTGTTTCTCTCTCCGTCTCTGTCTCTCTCTCCGTCTCTGTCTCTCTCTCTGTCTCTCTCTCTGTCTTTTCTCTCTCTCTCTCTGTCTCTCTGTCTGTCTCTGTCTCTA